CAGTACCAGTCATACAAAATACATATTAAGGCTATATTCGATCTAAAGGGCATTCATTTGTCCCTTTGTTTGATAATACTCAAGAAGCTTTTAAGCTGAAACTCACCTATAGAGTAATTTTATATAAATCTAATTACTAATCCTGCTTCATCTGAAATCATAAGATAAAACATTTGTATTCAGACCACAAAAGTCTCAGGCTTCTTGACCATTAAGCCTATTCTAAAGCTATGAACCTACTGGAGCCATTTAAATTCAGTGTGGCTTACTCCATTCATCCACAAAAACATCACAATAATGGCTTCTTTTCTTTTATCTTCATAGAGATTTCTGCTTGAAAAATGAAATTATACTCAGTAAATGAAAATAGCATTTTATTTTTTTCAATTAATAAAGTATTGTTTCCCCCAAAACGTTTGGTTATAAAAGTCTCTAAGGCTGGATAAAGCATGTTTTCTTTCCCATCACACTTCATAACTACAGGGCAACTATGAGTCAATACTCAGGCCTGCAGGATCCTAGCGAAGACCTAGCCAGACCTAAGGAAATTATAGCAGGACACTGGAATCTTATTGCTAGCCCCACAAATTATGATTGAATGGATGTAGTGGATATAGGATAAGTAACTTAAACAGCTCTCTCTCTCTCTCTCTCACTCACTTGGTACTTCTCATTTCAGCCACCAAAAAAACCACTGATCAGCATCTATGAAAGATCTGATAGATAAGCTATTCATATATGTGCACATAATAAATATAGGTTAAATCTGATGATATCATGAGCCACAAGTCATGTTTGTTTATAAGCAAAGGGGCTACGCAATTACAATCTTTCTTTGTTCCTTCACACATTAAAAATGGTATAGAAAGAAAAAAGTGAATCAAAAATCTGGAAATTAATAAGTGCTACTGGGCTCTAGATAAAGTATCACATGTAATGTATATAATAACAAGTATGAGCTAGATGTGTAAGCCATTTTTACAAATGAAATCAATCTGAAGTTAAAATGACTTAGCTATAAAACATGTGCATTGGCCACTTCGATTCAAAACCTGGGAGCCTGAATACAAAGCCATTGCATTTCACCATCACAGCAATGTGCTTTCTAACATGCCAGGGACTATCAGGGTTTATGAGGTGCATAAAATGGAGCACATGTCCTCAAAGAATTTACAATCTGAGAATTGAATTGTGATGTGCCCTAAAATTCATAGGCTGTAGGGAAAATGATATGATTGCTCTTCTTAGAATTGGGGAAAAGGGGAGCATAAGAGGGGAGCCAGTGGTTGTGTTTATTTCTTATTTCTCTAACCACTGAGAAAATAACATACAAACAAACATCAGAAAGGGAAATGTGATAAGACATAGTCAAAGCACAGAATGTATTGATGCATTTTCCAAATTCGATACATTTACCATTGTTTTTTCTATCTGCTAATGTCACTTGATGTAGATATTTATATCTACTGTAAATTTACTCAGTTGCCAGTTCACCTGGTGAACCATGATCTCACATCATAACTTGAGGGATTCATCTCACCTGAAATCATTTTACCTCAAGCTTTGTACCTGGTTCTTAATGAAATTATTTTCATGACCACACCTGCACATAGTCCTACTGATTTGACTTTCAAAAGAGATAAACAATTTGTATTCTTTTGATAGGAACAATTTGTGTGGAAACCGACATTGTTTAGTGGAAATTCTGAGATATGAAAACAGTACACTTTTTATATTTTTATTATCTAAGCACAATGAAAAGGTAAGCAGGATCATTTTGAATCCACAACACACAAAAATCTCAATTAGTTATGGTCTATTTGAAACATTTGTTAACAAAACAGAATTTTCTAGTTTACTGGATAAATATACCAGAAGAAACTGCAGAATAACGTTGGGTTGCCAAGCAACCACAGCTCTACTCTCTCTTGTTTATGATTAATCTGACTCATTCCTCAAGCTTCCTAACGTACTGCTGGAGAATTCCAACCAATTTGATTTTCATGGGGAAATTATAGTGACTTTTGGTAGGACAATAACACTTTCATTCTCAAAAGATACACTTAGATGTTCTTTTGATCAAAGGCATGTGTTAATTCATTATTCTCTACGTGGTGCTAATGAGGAAGCTATAATTAACTAACCACATGATTGCAAAACACATACAATAAACTGCAGCAATTAGTAATGTTTAAAGTGTTAACCAGCCCCCAAAATTAGGAAATGCAAGCTCTTTCCTCTAATAAATATACAAAGAAAAGAGAAAAGCACCATATCTAATTAAATTGAGAATTGTTTCCAGTCCCTCCCCCAGGGGAAGGAAAGACACGTGATCTCCAAAATGTGAGAGATTTCACTTTACTAGAAGAGAAAATGGCTCAGTGCCAAGTCTACTTGTAGGTGGCTCCAGTGTGGGTGAATAAGGTAATCTTTTCTTTCAAAGAATGCTCAGCACAATATTTTCCAAGAATGAATAGAAAGAATATTACGCTTTCTCTCATTAGCTGTGTTAACTTAGCATATTGTATGTAAATCACCATAATAATTGCATTCTCTTCAGACTGAATTACTTACAATGAAGCTGTAATCAAAATGTTCATAATTGAAAATACAGTATTCTCAGAGTTGGTTTCAAAAAATTGCATGGGCCCTGATTGAATCATAAAGTATAGTTCATCACTGCAACAGCCTCTGTAGAAAGACAAGTTCATCTTCTTGATTACACCTTGACATGTTAATTAGGTTCCCCAAATTCAGGGCTCAACACCCTCCAATCTGTCACATTTTCTTCTGCTGCTCTTTGTCTGGTGTAATAAGCCTTTTCCAAGTGTATGGCTACTCAGGTCTTTAAAGGGAAATAGAAAATGGGGAAAAGTGAAATTTGTGTTTCCAGAGCAGATGACATGCTATCACAGTGTTGGCTGTCATCAATCAAAGGGCAAACTAATTTCTAATAAATAGGACATTTAGTGCCAGAGCTCCTGGGAAACAATATGTAAATGATCACATGAATTTCAGACAAGCTGTCACACTAATTCCTCAAGGTCCCTTTTAAAGACAACATACACGGTGGAGGTGAGTGTGCCATGCTCACTGTGGATCAGCACTCCACTCTGAACTGATGCAACAGCCTTTTTTGGGACAATCGTCCCTTCCTATCTGACATGAGTATCCACTCTGTTACCTAAGTTTCCTTTATCAGTTAAAACTAATAGCACAACTCTTACTCGTTTCTTCAGAAAAATGAACCAGGATAAAGTATTTCATCATTTTAGATATGACATAGCTCCTATCTTAAAATATTTCATAAGTAAATATAAAAGCAGGCTTCTTTGCAGGTAATGTTTTTCTCAGTGACATATATTTCAATAAAAAATTCATAAAGATGTTTGAAGTAGTTGTATCTACTTGCCTGAATGATCTATAATCTACCAAAATATACACGTATTTTAGTAAGAAAATGTTTTTAAAAGTTGATTTAAAATGACTTGCCTAAATGGGAAGAGGCTATTAACATAAAGATACTAACACACTGTGCATGATGTGAACTCCTGTCATGCAATGCCAGATAAGTAAAACCTATACAACTGTGAGGTGCTTGCAAAGAAGGAAGAATTCTGCAAGTGAAAACACAAAATATGTGTTAATCTTCATAGTCATGTGCATCTATGTGGAGGTAGGTACAAGCATTTCCTGAAAGAGACTCTAGTCAGCTGCTACAGCCAGTACCCACACCAAACTAGTAATGCCATCTGTGTCCATGTATTAGATGGCAGTTACTCAGGACCATTCAAGTAATGACTGCAGGACACTTTGCCTTAGGAGAGGTGAATCCATTGGAGCAGTGAAGACCATGAGAGGGAAGGTTCAGGTCTATCTTAGACTCTATAGTCATCTCAAATTGTGAAAGCCTTAGACAGGTGTATCACAAAGAGATCAAAACTGAGACAAGACCAATGGCAGTGTGAGCAGGTGAAAGATGATCTCAAATCCTAAATGGAAAATTGTGGATGAAACTGGATTTTCTTGTCACCAGTCGTTTTCCCGGGCTGCTCTCTACCCTCTGTCCAGCACTGGACTCAGAGCCAACCTAACAACATCTCAGTTTTTCCCTTTCAGTCTGTTGCTGCAAACAATATTTAAAAGTTGAACTGAGTGTTTATATATTTAATAAATTTAATAAACAGAATTCTGCCCTCGATAAAGGTACCAAGAAACGACAATCTACCATATGTAATTAATGTGAGGATTAATTGCAACAGTAGAAACATCAGTGACAGCTGACTTCTAAATGATTGCTATTCGTCAGAGAAGGCCCCAGTCGTTTCCCCTGTCCACTGGCCACCTTGGATAATCCCAGTCCAGTCTTCCAACTTAAAATAGGATATAATCATACCTATTACTTAAAGAGAGAAACCGAGGCACAGAGTAAATGAGTCCCGTTCACGGACCACAGAGAAGGTAGAGCTGGAATTCCAAGCCAGGTAGGCACTCCAGGAGACTATCTTGAAGTACCTTCAAGAGTTACCTAACTCAGTGCCCACGGACACGCGCATGCACTATCTCCCCCAACCCCTAGCTTTCCAACCAGAGCGCGCTGTTGTGCACACGCCTTCAGCTAGCTGCCACTAGCAGTTCTGGCCAGCGGGGCAGTATTGATTGCCTTTCTCCCGAGGCTGAGTAAGGGGCTCCCTCACCGCCCAGTAGCAAGGTACTGAGCACACCTGCTTGTGCTTGGTGGCTCATCTGCACTCCCGCCCACCCTTCTCCACCCGCCAACCTCAGACCACCCACCCAGCTCCCTCTCCTTCTCGGTGCCTTGGTCTCCAGTACCTGAACCGTGCTGCTGCTGATCCTCCCGCCCCAGATTTTTCGCAGGAATTCCCCAGCCCTGCCCCTGGCTGAGAAACTGAGGTTCTTAGCAGCCAAAGGGAGTGGGGAAGGAGAAAGCCACACGTTTCCCCAGCCTCTGGGCTCCAATCCCAGCTCTCGAAATTAATCACTTGCTCCCTGCTCCCTCCCTATGCACACTTTCACTCAAGGGAGGGGGGAAAGAGAGAGAGAGACAGAGACAGAGAAAAAGGACAAGGAGAGACACAAAGAGGAAAAGGGGACTGTCCATGACTGGCATCCCCAGCTCCCCGGCTACGAGGGAGCCATGGCAACCGGCGTCCAACCCCCTCCCCAGCACCCTCTCGCCCCCCATGGCTTTCTGTTGAGGTGAGGTGCTGAGCCTCTGTCTTTTCCCTAACCTGGCAGTTCAGGATCGCTTATTTCAAGCTGGAGGCTTTTGGCGAACGCCACTGCACCCAAGAATTATCTCTAGAGACTAACGCTAGACAGGGACTTTGGGGCTGGGGCTGAGAGAACCTGGACCACCCCCCCAAGACCCAGAAGTGGGCAGTGGAGAGACATGTAGGACTCGCCGCCGCCGCCTCCCCCCCACTTGCCAGATGGCTACAATCTATAGGAGGACATGCATTCTCTACCGAGGGTAAGGAGGGGAGCTACTATGTTGGAAGAAACAGGTCAGCCTACCGAGGGTTGATAGCTTAAGGGCGCAGGGGTCCTGGAAACCTGTTTACTACAACCACTGACATGTTGCTGTCAACAATCCAGTTCTAACACCTGCAGAGGTGCTAGGAAAGGCGGTGCCTCTTTTCAGGTTAGGTCTCAGGTTAGGATGAGACCTTGAGCCACTCCCATTTTGGACAAGGATGGAGCCCTGAATTGTGCACCATTTCCCTTTCATAAGAGTTACTCCTCTTTTCCCTGGAGCAAGCCCTTGATTTCCCTCCACCTCGCTCAATGAGTTGGCTAAAGGACAGATTGAGAGAGCCCATTCCTGTCAAGGCACGCACAAATACACTCACCTGAGCCCCCTCTGAGGTCCGATCTGTGGAGTACCTTCCCTTGGGAAAACTTCTCCTTAAGCTGGTTCACAGGGCCAAGAGGGACCAACAAGGTCCGGAGCCTTTGGGTGGATCCAGGGGAGTTTCTAGCTGGGTGCTCTCCGCTGATCCACACCCTGGTCTGCCCACAGAGATTCCGTCCGTCCCCTTCTGCTGTTGGCACAGGTCTCCAGAAGGCTGGACCTGTTCGAGCTTGCACCGGTATCCACGCCCTCCTGCCAGAGACTGGCTTGTGCCTCTCCTCCGCTGTCCCCCCGGATCTACTCTGCCACCCCTCACCCACACGGCTTCTTTTCCCTCCTTTTTACACACTCTCCCTTGGGACAAGAGAGAGTTACAAGCTTTAGCTTTTGGTTTTATGAAAAGCAGGGAACAAAGACAAAACTTTGCTTGTCGTTTTCAATGTCTCTAAGCCAAAAGAGGCAGGATCGCTGCCGGGTTCTCTTGCCAGCTAGAAACCAAAAAGAAATCCCTCCCCTCTGCTCCCTCTCCCACCCTTCCTCGTTCAGATTCCACACACAGGCTTCCAGTCTGTTTTACCCTTTGCTGCATGGTTAAAGGGTGTGGTGCCTTGTACCTCTTTTAAAAACGTCTTGCTGGTTTCACTTCCTCATTTTTGGGGGGAACGGGGGGGGGAGGGTGATGCTACTGTCAATTCAATTTACAAAAGAGCCATCTCCAGCAGATGTCAAATCAATCAGTGCAGGCATAAATTTAAAGCTCCTCTACTGATATCTAATGTATGGTTTGTGTCCTGTTACCATCTGTACTTCACCAAATTTATCAGTGACATTTTCTTACTCTCTATTCATTCACTGCTGTGGAATAAAGCCTTTTTTTTTTTTTTTGCTCACTCCCTGTGCAAAAGCCTAGGGAGTGCTTTTATCTAGCTCATTTTACCAACAACCACGCTGTTTGTTTTAGGAATGCACTAAAGGGAAGTTACAGACTTTGGCATATGAAATAATATGCACACTCTTTCATTTTTCATTCATACATTGGCAATATATTCCAACACGATCACATAATATTGCTTTTTTAAAAAAATCCTGTTGCATGTAAGTGCTCTTTGATGGTAATGGAATTATTGACATCTAACTTTTACTCGACTGAGTCTTTGGGGTTGATCTTACAGTCCTGTTTTGTTCTCCTCTAGTGCACTAAACAATGAGGACATTTATTCCTGGGTGCTACCCTCAGAGTTGGATGCCACTACAGGGATCAACAAGAAATAAGGAGACTCAAGATTCTGCCTCAGAAACACTTGCATCAAATATCTTGAAATGAGTAAATGGGCTTTTCCATGTTCATAATTAAAAACCTTGAGGGATAAATGCTGCCAGTTCGTGTGTGGGCACAATCCTTACTGCTCGTGTTGGCATATTACAAACGCAAGTGAGGGCAGGATATGTCCTAGGTTTAAATTGTGCTACTGGAGTAATTCCACTGCCTGAGGCATCATTATTCATGTGGCATGTTTTTAAAAGTAGAAATAAAGAAAACTGAAATAAATTCCAACAAGGAAAATACTGAGCCTATAGGAAACCATTTCCAAGATCTAGGGGTCCCAAGAGAGACACAAAGCCAAGTTGGTCTCAAATTTACCACCTTCTGTGGTGGCATTTCCTGGGCAAAAAACTGAGGATTCTATTTTGGCAAGAGTAACAGAGAACTTTTAAAGACTCAGCTTTCCCTTCACTAGTATTTGTTTGCTGGACACATTGGATGGATAGGAATGTTATAGGTAAATAAATGGTAGATAGATAAATAGATGTAAAATAAACTCTCAGATTTGAAGAAAGGGGAGGGAAAGAAGACAGATAGGCAGTTTTCCAGTGTTCTCTGTGTTATTAATCCACTTGGGAAACTTAATAATGAAGGAGCACATCTTTCCTTTTAAGTGAAATATCTTAAATTATATTAGGTGACACTAAGACACAATACCTCAAATGAAAAGATGAAGTGTTAGTCTCTCATAAGGTTTCTCATTACACACACACACACACACACACACACACATACACACACACATACACACATGCTTCTGAGCCTTGGATACCTCATAAAACTGCATATAGATTGGAAATATTAATAATTGCCTGTGGCCAAATAGGAACAGTAATTAAGTCAGCATATAGCAACCCAATTTATCCTAGGCAACCAAACTTTCAGAAAGAAAAAAATGAAGGAAAAATGCTTAGGGCATGGGAGAGAGGGAAAGAGAAAGGAGGACAAATGGTGAACCAAAAAAGAAAAAGACTACTTGTTTCAGAGGGATGCTCATTAGAAGCAGATGCCTTCAAATAGCTATATGCAAGAAGTATCTCATAGCTATTGTCTGTACCCTGCTTTCTTTTGGGAACCACCAACCAGCTCCTAAATTATGACAGGAAGACTTACTATTTGTTTTGAATGATTAGCCTTAGCTTAGGCTCGTTTCTTTCTAGCTCTTCTAACTTAACCTATTTCCCTTCATCTTTCTTTCTTTCTTTCCTTCCTTCTTTCTTTCTTTCTTTCTTTCTTTCTTTCTTTCTTTCTTTCTTTCTTTCTTTGCTGCTGTCTTCTTGTCTGGCTTCTGGCCCAGGGTGTGTCCCTCTCTTTTTCCCTCCTTCTCTTCTTTACTCATTCTTCTTTTCTGTGGATCCTAGATTTCTCCTCATACTTACTCTCTCTGCCTGCCAGCACTGCCATCTTTCTCCTGCCTAACTATTGTCCATTCAGCTTTTTATTAGACTGATCGGGGCCTTAGGCCAGCAAAGTGAAGCGAATGCAACACATCTTTACATAATTAAAGAAATGCAGTACAAACAAATACAATGCACCCTTGCATCATTAAATAAATACATCATAAACAAAGGCAACACACCTTTACCTCAACAACAAAGGCAACAGAAACAAATGTAACACACCTTCACAAAGTTAAAGTAGTATTCCTCAGCATAAACAAATGTAACTAGACAAATCTTTGTCTAGTTAAAACAATATTCCACATCAATGATCTTTATGCATGAGCCCATATTTTTATACTCTAGCAAATGCAGGCAACATAGTCATGCTTGCTGACCAAAGCAGCAGCTTCCATCAAGTCTGGAATCAGAAGACAGCCTTCATCCAGAGTGAAAGACTGTGAAAATACCTTCTGCTGCTGTTTGGAGTCTCTCTCCTGGCTCCCTCTCTACTGTCTGCCACTTCCCCATGCAGCACATACTCCAGATCTATAAGAGATGCTGGGGAAACAGGACCTTCTGGCTAGTCATACAGAAATCTGATCACACTAGATTCAAAAGGTGTGAATTTTCTCTTTTGTGATGGATGAAGACCCTGCCTATTGAAAACACTAAGACTGGACCACAAAGGAGGGGGGATGGGTTTTCTCATAAACAGAAGCAGAAGGTGAGAGAGATAGGCCAGTGGACTGGAAAAACATAAAAGGTATCTGCTTTTCCTGCTGATTTACTGCCTATCCTCTGCCTAAAGCATCATTTGGTACCATTCCCAGGGCTGGGGCTATTGCAAGAGTATTGCCTTTTGGCAAAGCCAAGTAGCTAGTGATAATGGCACCATTCCTAGAAAAATTGTTTAGTGGAAGAGTTGTAGTGTTGGAAATGGCATTGCAGTCTAGCAGTTCCCAACAGTCACAGATAGACTGAGATTTTTCTGGCCAACTGCTGTAATAAAAGGAAGGCAGGATGTTCCTCTGAGGAAAAGATTCTTCAAAGGCAACCTTGGAAACTCAAAGCAGCCTCCTTCAGCTTAGAAACTAACACAGCTAAATACCAGAATAGTGACTCGGCAGAAGCACAGAAAGCCCATATTCCTTTAACTTGTCCTTTCATTCAAGAACAAAAGGACATGTATTAAGAATCAAAGGACAATAATGCTGAGACAAATAAGGTAAACCTCCCCTGCTCCTTACCATGGATCATTAATATATGTGATTTGGCCCTAGGAGTTCATAGAATCAGATATGTTTAATGGATTTTTAAGGAGCCATGCAATTATATGGCAATTTATAACCTTACCCTGTGGAACTAAGTCAGCAGTGGATACTATCAAATCTCACTCTTTATGTACCCTTGACGACAACTGCAAAATCAGTAAGCTGTCCCTACCCTCCAATCAGAAATGTCTGATATGGCTTGGCTACAGTCCTACTGGTGGTTTGCTCCAAAGTCCTGTGTCATCAGAATTGATCTCAAAGATTTGCAAACTGTATTAAAGGTTATATTTTTAGTTGTTGGGGAGAAGTTCTAGTATTTCTAAAGGATGGAAAATTTATCTACATTCCTCTATTTCAGGGTAATGCAAAAACATTTTAACCTGGTAAAAAATTCACCTATAGCTTCCTTTTATATTTGTGGACTGTATGGTTCAGAAATTATTTTCAACATTGTACAAGTAGTTAGTGGCCTAGGGTATATTGATAAGCATCTCCCAATTTCTTGTGTCATGTGATTTTAAAATGTAGCAAGGCATGTTTAAGGTAATATATATTTCAGTAGTAAACAAGACAAAGAGAAAGGATAGTGGGGATATTATGATGACAAGGGTGTAATGAGTGGTCTCAGTAGAGAAAAATAGTCTTACTTCGTCATTATCTTTTATTTTATATTACCGATTTTGCAAATGGGTTGGTACTTGCAGATACCAAGTAGGTTTGTTTAACATAAAGTTTGTAGAAGGCACTGCTGTTCCCCAATATGTTGTTAGTTTATTTTTGGTTACATGGCCACCCACAGTTTTGGCTTTATGTCTAAATTCTTGCTAAAGAGACATAAAGAAAATAGACAATTTGCAGATTATCAATTTAATGATAATGCAGAGTTACTCTTTTAGTTCTAGTTATGCTGAGGATGACAAAAATCCCTGAACTGCAATAGATCAGAATCTACTTACTAATATGAAATGTTGAACCTCTCTCTTCTTTAAGCCAGTCTTCCAGAGACCCTTTTATGTAACAGTATGAACTTTAAGTGAGGCAATTATAACTTTTACCATGAGAACAAATCAAGAATGGAATAGGTGAATATTTGTTGGTTTTACTTGCACAGTGCATTTACATTCATTCTATTTAACCAACCCTAGAAAAACATGTCTCTCGTGTTTTCATGGCTAAGCTGAGGTTTTCTCCAAGGTTCCCTTTCTACTCATGATCTAAGCTTTAAAAATAGGCTTCATTAATTAGTATTACAAGCCACTTATGTATGTGAGCCATAGCAAAAAGGCAACAGAGTCAACCAAAGACAAAGAAAGACTGCTGCAGTTCGGCTATTGTATGTCTCCTACATGCCTTGTGCCAAAGTCTTGGTATGAAAAGTCTCATTATTGGTTGCTCATAGAACTTTGAGAGGTGAACTCTAGCTGGAGGTTTTTAGATCATTGGAAACTGACACATTCCTGTTTGCTTAAAGCTAAAATTGGATTCATATTTGGTTTTATGTCAAATTAAATAAGCACCACAACAGAGAGATCATAAGTTATGTTCAAGTTGGATTCATCCTATAAATATAAAATGATTCAACATGAGAAAATCGACAAATCTGATCTGACACATCAACTGAATGAAGAATAAAAAATAGAAAGCTCCATTAGCATTTCAACAAATTCAGAACAAATTTAGTAAAATTCAGCATCTTTTAATAATGAAAACTTTTCTGTAAAATAGATACCAGAATACTCCGCTGGGGCTGCGGAGAAGGATCAGTGGGTAAAGATATTGCTTCCAAGACTGACAATCAGAATTCTATCCCTGAGATCCACATGGTGGTAAGAAAGGAGAAAAATCCCACAAGTAGTTCTCTGACTTCTACACATGCACCATGGCAAGCATGTGTGTATTTATACATGCATATACACATACATATATACACACAATAAATACATGTGAAAATAATATGGCTAATATCATCCTGAATGACTAAATATTAAATGTGCTTCCTGTAACATCAGGACTAAGACAAGGACTAAGACTTCCGTGACTTTTTATACCATTGGACGCCGTAACAAGAGGAAGATATAAGGATTAACCAAACTGGAAGGGAGTTAATGTGTTCTTGCTTTCAGAGCATGTGGTTTACACACAGAAAAACCTAAAACATTCTATCAAAAATCTGTGGGAATTGTTAAAATTGTAAAAGTTAAGGATACAAAGATCAAAAATTTCAAATATCATATTTATATGTCAATAATTGGATTCCTGAAAAAAAGAAAAGAACACTCCCTTTTATTACAGCTACAAAAATGTCTTGGTAATAAATCTAACCAAAGAAGGGAAAGATCCCTGCAATGAAAATCCTCAAATGCTACTGAAAGAAATTATAGAGAACACAGGATAATCAAAGA